GTCCCGGGTCAGCCCCGCCCCTCCCCCTGCCCTGTCCCGGGTCAGCCCCGAGCGAGCAGCGCTGTCTGAGCCCCGCCCCCGCTCTGACCTCGGCTCAGCAGCCCCTGCAGCCGCCACATCCCGCTCCCGTTCCTAGGCTGCACCGCGTGAGGGACCATAGAGAGGAAACGTGGAGGGTAGAGCGGCCCTGGAGAAACCATGGAGAAGGAATGCGAGGACTAGAAGGGTCCATAAGGCCATAGAGAAGCCCTGTGCAGGCTAGAGGGGACACACCATAGAGAGGACAGAGCACCCCGAAGCCATCGCTAGGAGTTGTGTAGACTAGCCGGGCTGCAGACCATAGAGAGGCGATGCGAAGGATAGAGGGTACCCCCCGGACCAGAAAGAGGCACTGTGGCCAGATAGGGACGGGGACTCCCCCCTCCCTCGGGACCCCGCCCAGCGCTCCCCGCCCGCCTAGGAAAGAGCGTTTCCTAATCTCCACCCTGGAGCCCCCCGCAGCGTGAGCCCCTCGCTCCTCGCTCCGCACCTGCCCCCCGAGACCAGCCTCTCGCCAGCCTCTCTGGACCCCTGCAGGGAGCTGCAGGCTGCTCTCAGCCCCTCGCCCTTCGCTTCTGCAGACCGAGCAGACCCAACTGCATGATGCCCACGCTGCTAGCAGCCACTCACTGCTCCAACTGCAAACCCGCAACGTGTAGCCACAGGCGCTTCCCTTAATGACAGATCGATCGCCATCACCTCAAAGCGACCTACCACAGGCCTATTCTGCCAGTCTGGACAGGAGGCTCTGCCAGGGAATTAGGGTCGTTAAAGACTAGTCGACTATCTGATAAGCAAATGCCTATCAGATAGTCAGTCAACTAGTCCAGGGGTGGCCAACCCAGTTAACAAAGAGCCAAAACAGCAGCAGGAAAAAAAAAAAAAAAAAAAAAAAGCCCCCCAGAACAGAATTGTTGAGCAAAAATTAAAAAAAAAAAAAAAATTAAAAAGGAGGCTGCCCCTTTAAGACGGCCACCATCTTGGGTGCCATTTTTAAAATCCTGCAGCTCAGACCCTGTAAGCACAGGGAAGCCAGGGATCATGGGGGAGACTAACAGATGGTCCCTTTTGTGCCAGTCTCTGGTTCTGTCTATATAAAAGGATAGTGCCCTCCGAAGGTCCAATATATGCAAGTGTGCCTGTCCTTACTGTTGTGGGGTGCAGGATAAAAGGAGGGTAGAACAATGGGCTCCTTAAGATGGAAAGCCGAACAGCCTTTTGGAATAAAAGCTGTGTGAGGCCAAAGCGTCACTTGTTAAAAACTGTGTACGGAGGTGTTGACGTTAAAGCCGCAAGTTCACTGACCCTGCGGGTTGACGCTATAGCAAACGGGAAAACTACTTTCAATGTGAGTATCTGAAGAGGTGTAGTAGCTATAGGCTCAAAGGGGTGTGTCCAGTACAAAGTTCAAGTTCCAGGATGGGGGTGGAGGTCTGCACAGTAGATTAAGGTTTATCAGACCTTTTAGAAATCTTCTAGTCGTGGGATGTGCAAAGACCGAAGTCCCAGCTATAGAGTGACAGAAAGCGGTAATTGCCACAAGATGTACCTTTAAGGATGGGACAGAGTTCCAATTGTTTCAGGTATAAGACATAGTCCAGGATATGATGAATAGGAGGTTTATATTCTGGTGCTCTGCAAAAGGGATTGTCCCTGAGGATAGGCACATCCTCAGGGACAATCCCTTTTGCAGAGCACCAGGATATAAACCTCCTCCACTTGCTAAGTCGCTCAAGTGGTGTTCCTCCTGCTATGCAACAGAACAGGGGTTCCCAAACTTTTTGACACGGGGACCAGTAAATCCATTATGGAGCTTTTGGATGACTGGTAACATTTATTTGCATATTCATTAAGCAAATGATGAATATGCAAATAAGTTTCTGGTACTCCCAAAGCCATCAGTACCAGCTTTAGCAAAACTTTTGATACGGACACCCACAATATTCTTGCCAGAAAGTTAAAAGAATATGGATTGGATAAGTGGACTGTAAGATGGATAGAAAGCTGGCTAGACCAGGGTTTCCCAAACTTTTTACTTTAGTTGGAACCCATTTTTTTTGTACTGTTTTTTGCAGCCCAAAAATATAAATGCATATTAAAAAAGTGAATATATTTTCACTGTGTATTATTTATTCACAATAACAGTACATAACATAAGTCTTAATTACAGTTTAATGAGTAGCATTTCAACAGTTGTAAAGTTTATTTATAATTGAATGAGTTGAATACAAGTCATTTGTGTGCACTTTATAGCTTTTAAATAACTAAAAAGAGAACTAATGGGAAGGGTGATGTTTTACATCACATAGCAACTTTATCAATCCACGTTGTCACAATTAAATGTACTGTATGTTTTTCTGTCTTTGCATGTAGGCTAGCACCACAAATGTGCGTTTCCTCTCTTTACCCTATGGTAATTTGGCCCATTTAAAATGTGTAAGTTAACAGCTTGGAATGTCCTGCATGCTGAACTGGTTCTGCTTCTGAATCCACGTTGTCACAATTAAATGTACTGTATGTTTTTCTGTTTTTGCATGTAGGCTAGCACCACAAATGTGCGTTTCCTCTCTTTACCCTATGGTACTCGCTATCCAGATAGACAACAAAAAGCAAGGCATGATGCTTTTACAGGTAACACAACACACACTTTACTCTGCATACTACTCCAAAAGGATACAGTGAAAAATAGAGAATTTGCTCCATGAATTTTACATCATCTCCTACAAAATCCAAAGTTTCTTTAAAGGGGACACATCCCTTTCACCTTTCTGTCTCTATGGGTGTGTCTAGACTACATACCTGTGCCGATCAAGAAGGGCTTCTTTGTCGGCGCGGCGCGTCCAGACTGCCCCAATCTGCCGACAAACAGCTGATCGGCACAGCGGGGCAGCCATTTAAATTTAAATGAAGCCGCGATTATTTTAATCGCAGCTTCATTTCCCTCTGCCTATCTCGCTAATCTACATGCCTCCGTCGACGGAGGCATGGAGTCTGGACACAGCCTTAGTCAAATTCTTAATGCCTTTCGTCATGACATATTTCTCAGATAAATGAGAATATTAATTTCTACAGCTTAACCAAAAATCAATCAAGGAGAGTTTATCAAAGTTCTCATCTAAGGCAGAGTCACAGGAAATTTCAATTAATTAATCCACTTCTGATGCACTCAATTGTAGTATTTCTTCATTTTCAGTGTCAACAGTAAACTGGTTTCTAATCCACATTTTACTGGCATCAATTGGAGGAAAATATTCATTTAAACTTGATGTTAGGCCCAAGAGGTGTTCTTGGATTGCTGCAGAAATTGTATCTGAGATATTGGTTTCAGCATATTTTTCTTGTAATTCAGTTAAAGTACAAAAAGACTTAAAGTTTCTCTTGTTAACTCGCTGTGCCCATAAAGGAAGTTTTTAAATTGTTGCCTCAACTTTTTCGTGAACTTTGAAAATATTAATTTTAGTGCCTTTTAAATGATTTAAGTTTGAATTTACAAGACAAAATATATCACATAAGTAAGCCACCATTGTTAACCAATCAAATTCATGAAACCTGTCTTTAAATGTGTAGTAAAAACTAAGTGTGCTTCTTCCCCTCCATTGCTTAAGCTCGAAACAGCACGTATCATTTAGCTGATTGCGCATGTCTTAGAAGCTGCTAAACTTTCTGCCAAGGAACTGAGTAAACTTGCAGTGACCAATCACGTTGCGACACGCTGGCCAGAAGGAATGTAGAATCCATAAAAGTTTCAGCTCGGGCACTGCCCGTGGTCTACCTTGCTTTGAGTACTTGAGCTCCTCGGTCGAACTTGTTTGCAAACAATAAATGGAGTTGGACCCAGCCTGAAAGTGTGACTCTCTTCTTGAGGCAAATTGAACTAGCTTCCAGGGGACGAAACTAGCAATTTATGCAACAAATGTAAATATGACATCTTTTGCCGATGGAGGGTGTCGCTCTAAGAACAATAAAACTTCATTCTTCATTTCAAAGAATTGTTTCCAAATGTTTCCTTTCAACAGCCATTGAACCTCACAGTGTAGTAAGAGATGCTCATGTTCACTTCCTAATTCATTGCACAAAGCAGTAAAGATTCTGGAATTCAAAGGACAAGATTTTATATAATTTATAAACTTCTCACATTCTCGAAGAGTGGAACTCAAAAGTGATGGCATAGTTTTCACAGCTAGTGCCTCTCTGAATACTACAGTGCATCCATACAGTCAGGTGCTACAGCTCGAATCCATAGGACAAGCCCAGTGCGAGCCCCTGCCATTACTCGAGCCCCATCACTGCTCAGTCCAACACACTTTTTCCAGGCAATATCACTTTGAATAATAAAATCATTGATTAGCTTAAAAATTTCGGCAGCCATTGTTCTTGTTGGAAGTGGTTTACAAAATAAGAGATCTTCTTGAATGGAACTTTCATAATCATATCTAACAAAACACATCAAATTGGCAGCGTCGGCTATATCAGTGCTTTCATCCACTTGTAATGCAAGAAACTGACTATTCTGTATTTGATGAATGAGCATTTCTTCAATATTTTTCGCCATATCTTCAATTCTACATTTCACTGTATTGTTGGATAAAGACACAGAACCCAACTGATTTCCCTTTTTTCCTCCATAAATACAGGATGTAATAATATGCAATGCAGGAAGTATTAACCTTTCACCAACAGTATGCGGCTAACCTGTCTCAGCTATTAGTTTTGAAACTGTATATGAAGCCATCACAAAGTTTTCATTTGAAGAGCCCATAGAAAGTGCACTTTTCATGCTTTTTTTTTTTTAGCAAAAGCTAATTCATTTCTCTTGTGTAAAAATCTATGGGCTTACTCGCGTATTCTGGATGTTTGCATTCCAAATGGTGTTTCAGTTTTGATGGTTTCATGCACTCGTTGGATAGTTGTGTGTGACAGATTAGGCATAATGGCAAGTGATTATCACTACCAACACTTATAAAACCAAATTTCAAATACTCATCAGAATAATTGCGGATTCAAGGAGTTTTTATCTTCTTATTCTCACTTGTACTAGGCTGCACACTTGTACTAGGCTGCACATCATTCAAACATTTGTAGTTGTATTTCCAGTCACATTCTTCAGCCATTTATCCACATTGACGATGAAAATGAGAGGATATGTTATTAAAAATAAATGAAGAAAGCTTAAGCAGTTAACCTAAGAGGACATGCACATTGTCCCACTGTGTGG